GCTCTGGAGCTTCCATTCAGAGAGGGGCCTGCAGCCAGCAGATGGAGGACTCCTGAGCTGCCTCCCTCTCCCTTCTGTGAGTCTAGTTCCTTCTCTCTCGCTTCAGCATTATCTCTGCCCCTGAGAGCTCCTGCCTCTCTGAGTTTCCTCAACTTTCACTCTTAGGAAACAAAAGTTTGTACCCGTGGGCCCAGGGTCCCTGCCTCCAGACATTCAGAGGGTCAGGGATGAAAGACCTTCCACATTTGAGAAAAAAAAAAATCGTGGGTTTGGACTTTTAAGAAACAAGAAAACAATTTCTCAAAAATGTTTCAGGGTGGGGGGTGCAGGAAACAATGGCTTTTCAGACTTTCTTTTCCCTCAGAAACATTACAGAGTTGTTTCCCTTGCTTTTTGGTTTACAGTGGGGTCAAGGGAGATAGGGAGCTTTTTACCAGGCAGATAAAAGGTATTTTAAAAAACAAAAACAGGATCCAAAAATACTGATTTCTTTAGCCACCTCTGTGGTGAGAACATAAAATTTGTGGGACATGTTTTGTGAAGATCCTCACAGTGAAATACTCAGGGGAAAGACCCTTGAACTTGTCCTTCGTGACTTGTCCAGGGAATGACACTGCTCACTGGAAAAATGCTTCCCTGGGGAGACCAGAGCGTCCACTTCCTTTAGCTGTGTCCACCGTGGGGACTCCAAAATGCTCTGACCTCAGGTTCATTGTGGCGGCTATTTTCCACTGTAGGGAATGTAGGAAACAGAACCAGGACAAAAAAAGTGGGGGTAGGCAGGGTCAGGAAGAGAAAGGACAGAGCTGTGTACATTCAGACGCCACAGTTACAACTCAGCTCAGCCCACATTGACTGAGACTGTCCATGTGCCGGGCAATGGGATCCAGGATGCCAAGGACCCAGACTCAACCCACAGGGAGCTCAATTTGCTCACAGAATCTGCATTCACATCCTTGAGTTTGCTTTTCAGCTTCGCAACCATAATAGGGCTTCCCTGGTGGCTCAGTGGTAAAGAATCCACCTGCGATGCAGGAGACAGGTATGATCCCTGGATTGGGAAGATCCCCTGGAGAAGGAAATGGCTTCCCACTCTAATATTCTTGCTTGGCAAATCCCACGGACAGAGGAGCCCGGCAGGCTACAGTCCATGGGGTCTCAAAGAATTGGACACGACTTAGTGACTAAACAGCAACAACTATAGTAGATGCTTTAGATTAATGAGCTCCTAAAAGTCCCAGATGCAGGGGTCTTCACAGCTGCCCAACCCCCTCAGGTTATAGTTGAGGAAAACAACAGGCCCACAGACGAGAAGTGAGCTGCCAAGATCACACCGCGAGTCCCTAGGAGAACCAGAGCCTGGAAGCCAGGTCTCCTGGTCCCAGTTCTCACCTCAGAGAGCTGGTCAGTGATCGTTAAGATGTAGAAGGAGTGCTCGTCCTCTGTCCTGGAACTTGCTACTTCTTTGACCCTCAGCTTTCCCATCGTGATAAGAACAGTATGGTACCTATCTCAAAGAGATACTCTGAGATTTATGTGAGATCTCCACCCCGTGCTTCGAACAGCACCTGGCACCTAGCAAAGCAATACAGCACTTCCTAGTATCCTTATCGATATGAGCAGGACTTGTCCTTCCATTCAGCAGGTACTGATCAAGGGCACACCTGTCTGTGTACAGGGCCCATCCCCAAGCCAGGGGCTCACAGTCTGGTTGGGGAGACACACAGAAACAGGAGATGGTGAGACAACCAAAGCAAGAATGGCAGGAGTGCCAAGAAGGCTTCACAGAGGAAGGACCAGCTAGATGTTCCTGACAGATGAGAAGGGCTAGCCAGGTAGAGAGTGGGCAGAGTCAATGACCTGCCCAAGGACCTGGATGGGAGACAGAACCCAGTGAGTCCAGACCTTGGGAAAAGGGGAAATCAGACAGAGAATTAGAAGGCAGTGAACTAGGTGAACAGGCTGGCTTCCTGTAGCTAGGGAGGAGACAGAGAGCCCACCAAGGCCCCACCCTCCACCAACCCACCCAAGACCTCCTGCCTCTGTCCATGCCTAGGGAACCACCTGGATCATTAGCCTACTTGACTTTGGGCAAGCCGCTTCCCATCTCTGGGCCTTGGTTTCTGCATCTGCCAAAAGAGTGATGCACAAATATGATTGCTCAGCGTGCATGCATGCCAAGTCACTTCAGTCGTGTCTGACTCTTTGCGACCCCATGGACTGTAACCCACCAGGCTTTTCTGTCCATGGGATTCTCCAGGCAAGAATACTGGAGTGGGTTGTCATGCCTTCCTCCAGGGGATCTTCCCCACCCAGGCATTGAACTCGCATCTCTTACATCCCCTGCATTGGCAGACAGGTTCTTTACCACCAGCACCACCTGGGAAGCCCCTGATCTCTCAGGGCCCCTCCCATTACAAGTGTCCTGCTTTGAGAAGCAGCCTTCTCCCTGTGGAAGAAATTTCTCTGCAGTTTATTCTGCTAGAGTCCAGGAAAACAGGCCTCGCCTCTTCCCTCTTCTCTCCGAACCTTGAGTTGACTCCAGCCCATGTCATTTTTTGATCATAATTGAGCCCCTTCCTTCACTGCTTCCGGCTTTATGGAAAACCTTGACCTTGGGCCAAAGTTCAGAAAGCTGGCTCCAATCCTGGGTAGGGGCCAAGGTGGGAAAGGAGGGGGCGGAGACTGGCTCCCCAAAGAAAAGAGCAGAAAAGGTCAGCAAAGGCTCCCCGCCCTTGGTCGCAAGTCTGAGGCCCAGCAAATGCAGACTGAATTGAACAGAGTCCAGGGAGTTGATTTAGACTGAACTGCGGGAAATCAGCTGTCTCCACAGGGGTCATTTCCAGCTGAGGCGCTGGGCTGGGGATTTGCATGGAGAACACTGCCATCTAGTGTTCGCTTCTGTCCTGAGGTCTGAGCCCACCCTCCTGGGACGCGCTGCTCAGCTGCCAGGCTCCCCTGGCACGAGGCTCCTTCGGGATTCCTTTCTCGCCCGCAGGTGATGGACAGCTCAATGCCCCTGATTGGGGAGCACGTGGAAGAGGACAAACAGCTGATGGCCGACCTTGTCATCTCCAAAATGAGCCAACTCCTGATGCCAGGGGGCATGGTACCCTCGCCCCTGAGGCCTTGGGTAAGAGAGTGTATAGTCATGTGAGATAGGGAAATCAGCTGTCTCCACAGGGGTCATTTCCAGCTGAGGCGCTGGGCTGGGGATTTGCATGGAGAACACTGCCATCTAGTGTTCGCTTCTGTCCTGAGGTCTGAGCCCACCCTCCTGGGACGCGCTGCTCAGCTGCCAGGCTCCCCTGGCACGAGGCTCCTTCGGGATTCCTTTCTCGCCCTCAGGTGATGGACAGCTCAATGCCCCTGATTGGGGAGCACGTGGAAGAGGACAAACAGCTGATGGCCGACCTTGTCATCTCCAAAATGAGCCAACTCCTGATGCCAGGGGGCATGGTACCCTCGCCCCTGAGGCCTTGGGTAAGAGAGTGTATAGTCATGTGAGATGCTTGGCTGTCTGGGAGTGGGTGCCCTGATCCAGAGGAGATGCACCCAGGGAGGAACCGACTTGGGGAAAAAGGAATGGGGTGTGGGTGGGGCTGGGCTTAGGGGAGAGTGTGTACCCCTGCTCCTGACAGGTACATTTGGGAGGCTCGGAGGGGCCCTTCCTCTCTCTGCCACCCTGGAGAGAAAAACGTGGTTTCAACTGGGCTTTGAGTGTCTGCAGGCAGAGATTATTAACATAGGAAACCAGGTGTCCCCTCTGTGCCCTCCATCCTGGGCCTGAGTGGTGAGTAGGGTGTGTGTGTGTGTGCACGCGTGTGTGTGCACACTCATGCCCACATGTACACACATGCCCTTCGTGGGCTCCCAGGGCACCGGTCAGTAGGGACTCTTGTGTCTTCCATTTCCTCATCTTCCAACCTCTTCACGCTAACACAGAGCTCCTGTCTTTCCTGATCCTCACCATGGGTTACCAGATGATTCTCCAAAGAACTTGCTAGATCTCCAGCTTTCTGGAAAAGCAAGTCTCCAAACCTGATCCCCCTTTTCCCCCTCAAAACAAATCTGTGATAACAGATGTCAGAAAGATGCTCGTTCTCAAGAAGGCCACTGGCTTGGAGAAGGCATGGGGCAGCTTTCTCTGCTGGAAATGTTCTGTCTTGACCTGCTTGGTGATTACACAGGTGTCTCCACGTGTAGAAACTATTTGTGTTGTGCACATTATGTAAGTTTCACCTCAATAACGATGGAGAAGGAAATGGCAACCCACTCCAATATTCTTGCCTGGAGAATCCCATAGACAGAGGAGCCTGGCGGGCTACAGTTCATTACACAACTAAGCAACTGATCACGTCAATAACAAACAGACGTTTACAAATCCTGCCCTCCCACCCAGGAAGTGAATGGTTGTAGTGGGCACAACAGTCTTCTTTTCTCTTCTGCTTTAGGCGCCTCAGACTAAACCAGCAAAATCCCCTGGGCAAGCCCAACTGGGTCCTCCACTTGGACAACCCCAGCCACGGCCACCCACACAAGGTAGGACCCGTGACGAGCCACCCGCCAAGAGAGGCCATCCAGCAAGGATGCCGGAATGCAGTGAGGGATCCACATATGACTTCCCAAAAGGCACTCTGGAAAGCTCCATGTTAATACTTAATCACCAGACCTACTCCCTTGCTCTGTGTGCAGAATGAATGAGACCATGAGGTTGTCACTCCCTTAAAGTCAGGAAAGGAGGGAAGAAAGACAGAAAGTAAATGTATTAAGTACCTAGTATGTGCCAGGTCCTGTGCTAGGGGCTTTCCCATTTATGGTCTCATTTTCAGCTTCCTAATGTGTCAACAATGAAAACAGGGGTATTTCCTTTTTACAGAGGTAGGTGTTAAGGCTTTGTGCAAGGAAGCACAAGAAAATGGCATGTTTACAAGTCTGGTCTTTCAGATCTTCTAGAAAGTGCCTGTTTCCTAGCCACGGGCAGTGCCTGATTATAGATTTATGAGCCAGCCAGCAACAGTGAGAAAGAAAAACGGAACATTATATAGAACCTTGTCGATTCGAATCATTCCTCAAAAATATCCCAGTGTTACTAAGTAAATGCCACCATTTATCAGAGAATGGATGAACTGTTGATGACACGATGAAAGGAGATTGTGGCGGTAACTAACCCCTTCTCTCGGGCTGCCAGCTGCTCGTGTGTTCTCACGCTCAGGCCTGGGGCAAAAGTCACCCATGTCCTCTCTCGATGTCAGAACCTTCCAGGCACCCTCATGGCCAGCTTGGGGCCTCGGGACAGCTTCACCCCAAGATGCCAGGCCAGGCATTTTCACGGTGGTCTTTTAAGAATCTGCTTTAAGAACCACCAGAAAGAAAGTACTACCATCACACTGTGACCTTCCCAGGTGGTTTTATCAAAGTAATAGATTCATTTCTTCTTGAGAAAATCAGCCTTGGGCAGCAAACAGCTTCCTCTTCCACAGGTCTTATATAAAACATCCATTCATCTTTCTCGTCTGTGTGTCTCTTCCTGGAAAAGCAGAAAGCGTTTAAGAAAAGGGAAATTGCAGGACTGACACAACTGTGTACCAGTGAACACTGAGTTCTTCTTCAGGCAGATGCACACGTTTGAAACTACTTACAATGTCTCAGTCCTCTGGCAGACTTAGGCAAGTTACCTCACTTCTCAGAGGCTCAGATTCCACAGTGAGGAAGGAGGAGATGACATGTGCCTGTTTAGTAATGGGGAGCTGCCTGTGAGATAATGCAAGAGAAGCAGTTATAAATAGCAAGGTGTCCCAGTGTGGAGGTAGTGCTTAGTAGGTGCTAGTAATTTACTGCTGATAACCATCACTCAGTCGTGTCCGACTCTTTGGGACCCCATGGACTGTAACCCACTGGGCTGCTCTGTCCATGGAATTCTCCAGGCAAGCATACCAGAAGGGGTTGCCATTCCCTCCTCCAGGGGATCTTCCCTAGCTCAAGGGTCAAACCCAGGTCTCTTGCATTGCAGGCAGATTCTTTACTGGCTGAGCCAGCAGGGACTTTGACTGTTAAAAGCTCACTATTCGAGACTTCCTTGGCAATCCAGAGGTTAGGGCTCTGCGCTTCCAGCTCAGGGAGTGCAGTGGGACCAAGACCCCACACGCCACACAGTATGCCAAAAAAAAGAAAATCTGGGTCCAGAGAGATGTCAAGTAGATGGAGAAACAGGATAGGGATCTCAAAAGGAGACAAAAGGGATTATCAAAACCTTTGAGGCCAGCAAGGATGCCAAGAACTTATTCTTACTGGATTTTTCTGTAAGGAAAGCAGTTATGCTGATAGAAAGAGACACTGCCAGAATAAACTCTTATATCTTTTAAAACTCACTATTAATAATTGTGTCTTACTAAGCTTCCCTGCTGACTCAGTGGTAAAGAATCCAACTGTCAATACAGGAAACACAAGTTCAATCCCTGGGTCAGGAAGATCCCCTGGAGAAGGAAATGGCAATCCACTCCAGGACTCTTGCCTGGGAAAATCCCATGGACAGAGGAGCCTGGTGGGCTGCAGTCCATGAGGGTCACAAAGAGTTGACCACAACTTAGCGACTAAACAACAACAAACAACACCGCAGTGATAATATACATGTTGTTCTTAATGAGTGTCATCATTAAGAATACTTACAACTACTGCAGCCCCACTGCCCTCCTGCCAGGTGATAACTCTTTGATTATAGAATGTTCAAAAACAACTTATTCATCACCCTGCCAGGCTCTGGCTGTGTCTCTGCCCTACCCTCTCCTTTCCCACTCTGCCCCAAGACTTACTTTTTCAACCACATTTGCACAGAGCACTTCTAAAACAGAGAGCTACTGTATTCTTGTTTCCTCTCCGGCTCAGAGTAGAGACACACTGGATAAATAAAGAGATATTATTTTAAGGGACAGGAAGCTAAACATACTTTTAGTGAGTTGAAAAACAATCAATTAAAAACCAATTAGGATAATTAAAGAAGATGCTCATTGAATTAACATTTAGAGTAAAAATAACAAGGCTAATTAAAACACAATGCTTTCCTTGATTTCCCAAATTAACAAGATCACATTATTAACTTGTTTTTTGAACTCACTACTCATTTTCAACTCAGTGAAAGTGAAATTCTCTTTTAAGGAACCTCATCATCTTTTAGCACTGATCCTGTGCTAAAGCAAATACTAAGCAAATACTATCTATATATAAGTTAACTTTTTTCTGTGCTCAAACAAAAAGTATTATTTTTTTTTTTGCTTTGCCAAGAAGCTGAAAGAAAATAACTAGTCTCTTGATGAATCCCATCTGTATAATAGGGACTAAATGAATTGTTAATAAATGAATGAATAAGAGTCCAGATTTTCTAAGATATTAATCAGCCTTGATGGGCAGAGTATTGGGGAAAGGGGAAATTTAAGATAAAAGTAGAAAACATGTTTTTTTGGACCTATGGTGAGTTTAACAAACCAAAAAAAGCAAACCAACATTTAAAAATGAGAAGCTTTTACATAAAATCCAGATTTCCAGCTCCTGTGACAGAGTAGGAGCTCTAGAAACAGTGGGCAACAATGTAGCAAATACCACTGACACCTAGTAATAGCAGCTCCCTTATAATTAAGCGGCTCCCCAGATGGCGCTAGTGATAACAAGTCCACCTTCCAATAAAGAAGTAAGAGATGTGGCTTCCATCCCTGAGTCAGGAAGATCGCCTGGAGGAGGGCATGACAACCAACTCCAGTATTCTTGCCTGGAGAATCCCATGGACAGAGGAGCCTGGTGGGCTATAGTCCATGGGATCGCAGAGTCAGACACAACTGAAGTGACTTAGCATGCATAGCCTGTTCCCTTGGACAGGTCAAGGACCCCTTCCTTTGCCTCAGGCATGTATTTTTATACATGCCAAAATGAAATTAACCCACAAATGCTGTTTTATAAGCTGCTTTCTGTCTAGCAGTATATATTCATATTTAGCTTATATTGTCAACAACATCCCATGTCATTTAATATTGTTCTGCCACATCATACATGATGACCATAGCACATTCCATTACATGAATGTATCTTAATGTTCCAGTCAGTTCCCCTATGGTTGCGTGTTTGTATTGTTTTCAGTTTTTCACTGGTAGGGAGAACCCTGTAATGAACATCCTCGAAGTGACACTTGTGCACAGCCTTATTTATCCTAAAGAATTTGAACGGAATCATTTTTTCTCCCTGCAGGGGGCCCTCGCCCAGTTCAGTCTCCTCAACCCCCAAGATCTGGGAGTCCCTCCCAGCAGAGGCTCTCCCCACAAGGCCAGCAGCCCCTGAGCCCTCAGTCTGGATCGCCACAGCAGAGATCGCCAGGGTCTCCCCAGCTCTCCCGTGCATCTGGAGGCAGCTCTCCAAACCAGGCCCCCAAGCCGAGCGCACCCCTTACCTCGCAGCCCCGGCCCCCCGTGCAGGGCCGCAGCACCTCCCAACAGGGCGAAGAGGCGAAGAAGCCAGCATCACCCCATCCCCATCTCAAGTAAGTGATGTGGGACCCGGGAGGTCTGAGAGTGGACTTGGGGTGTGGGCAGAGCTGGGCTGGCTCAGGGTCAGGGACTCAGAGCAAGACCCACCAAGGCCTCACCCCAACTTTAAATGGGTAAAAGGAGGCCTAGAGGATGGAACCTGGGTGGCAGGTAGGACCTAGCAAGGCCAGAGCATAGGTTAGGCCCCACTGTGATCCTCCATGTATACCTGCATCAGTTGCTTCCTGCTGCATAACAAACCACCCTGAAACATAGTGGCTTAAGAAAGCAACCATTTTCTTTGTTTATAGTTTTTTTTCATTTAGTCACTTGTACTGAGTTTGGTTCAGCTGGGAGGATCTCCCAATGGTCTCTCCTGGAGAGTTACCAGATAAAATGCAGGATGCCCAATTAGATTTTAATTTCAGCAATGAATAATTTGGAGTGTATACCCTTAAATATTGCACGTGCTTAGTCACTCAGTCATGTCCGACTCTTTGCGACCCCATGGACTATAGCCCGCCTGGCTCCTCTGTTCATGGGATTCTCTAGGCAAGAATACTGGAGTGGGTTGCCATGCCCTCCTCCAGGGGATCTTCCCAACCCAGGGATCAAACCCAGATCTCCCGCATTGCAGGTGGATTCTTTACTGTCTGGGCCACCAGGGAAGCCAAATATTGCACAGGTTAGACTTATACTCAAAAGGTATTTTTTTAATCTCAATTTCAAACTTAACTGGGTGTCGTGTATGCTTGCTTACTAAAATCTAGCAACCCTGCTCTCCTGGGATTGCTCACAGGGCTGTAGTTATCCAGCAACTTACCTATGACCGACAGTCCAAGAGAGCTTCCTGCACACATCTGGTTGTTGGTGTCACCTGTCAGCCAAGCCTCTCTCTCTCTCCTGGGCCTCATCCTCCATCAGCCTGGACCCAGCTTCCTCATGTGGTAGAATTACATTCCAAAGGGCAAAAGTAGAAGCTTCGAGGCCTCTAAAGGTCCAGGCTTAGAAGTTGCATGATGTCATTTCATCCCATCATAGGCTTTTGATAAAAACAAGTCACATGGTCAAGCCCAGATTAAGAAGGTGGGAAAATAGACTCCTTTTTAAAACCTTATTTATTTGTCAGGCCGTGTTGGGTCTCAGTTGCAGCGTGTGGGATCCTTCTTGTGTCCTGCAGGCTCAGTAGTTATGGCGCACAGGCTTAAGTTGCTCCTCGGCATGTGGGATCTTAGTTCCCTGACCAGGGATCAAACCCATGTCTCCTGCATTGCAGGACGGATTCTTAACCACTGGACACCAGAGAAGTCCCAGAAATACACTCTTGATACAAGGACCTGCAAAGTCACCCTGTGAAAGGCTAGATGACTGGGGCGGAAGGGAAGGTTCCATCCCCGGGCACACATCTGTTCTCTCTCTCATTTCCTCTCAAGCCTGTCTCTTGGTTTGAGGTCAGAGAAAGAGATCCCAAATGTATTTTCTTTGGAAAGTTTTTCCTTTCCTTCAACTCCAAACAAGCTAACCATAATTTTTCAGAAGAGTTAATATATTCATCTAGTTCAAAGATCTAAAAGATATTGATGTTTTTACTGAAAACAATTACCTCATTCTCATCCAATGCTTTCCTGCACCCTGCTCCCCAGAGGTCACCACTTTTGTTAGTTCTAGTGTGTTCCTCCAGTATTTCCTTATGCATATATGGAAATATATGTTCTGGTTCCCTCCTCCCACTTATTTACATAATCAGCAGTGTTCACTATCCACACTATTCGCTTCTTGCTTTTACATTTAGTAATACATTCTGGAGCTCTTCCACGCAGTTCATTGACATTTTCTCCTTTTCACAGCTGTATAATTATTCCACTGTATAATTATACTATAATTTATCTAACTAATCCACTGTAAGTGGAAATTTGGTTTTCTCTTACAAAGAAGGCAGCAGTGAATAGCCTTGAAAACATGCTTTTTCTTATATGTGCAGGATCAACTGTATAGAAAATACCTGAAATGGTATTGTTGGGTCAAAGGATAAATGCATTTTTAGCTTAGTAATATTACCAAGTGGTCCTGTAGCAGTAGGCATAGAGGTTGACAGCACAGACTCTAGTCAGACTCGCTTTGGGTTCAGTTTGAAGTCTGCCACTTAAAAGCTGCCTGACCTCAGAAAAAAGTTACTTAACCTCTCTGTGCCTAAACTTCTTCACATGCAAAATGGGGACAATAGTGTTTACCCCACAGGGCTATTATAAGAATTAAAATGAGTGTTTGCACAGTTGGTGCTCAGAACGCTGCTGGCTCCATATGTGTGTATCTGTGGCTGCCTCTCACATGTGAAAAGATGCAGCCCAGCTAATCACAGGACAGACAAGGGCTCTGGAACTTAAGCCAGGTTTGAGCACTAATCTTGTAGCAACCTAGCTGTGTGTGTGTGTTAGTCACTTAGCCGTGTCTGACTCTTTGGGATCCCATGAACTGTAGCCCCCCAGGCTCCTGTGTCCATGGAATTCTCCAGGCAAGAATACTGGAGTGGGTTGCTATGCCTTCCTCCAATGGATCTTCCTGACCAGGGAGCAAACTTGAGTCTCCTGCATTGCAGGCAGATTCTTTATTGTCTGACCCATCAGGGAAGCCCAGTAATCTAGCTAACAACACTTGAATCTCCTGGTTGATGCTGTAAAGTATGATTTAGTTCAGTTCAGGTCAGCAGGTCCTTACCAAACGCCTACTCTGAACTAGTCTTGAATAACACCCTGGGTGGAAAAAGCAAGGGGTAAAAGATAGCCCTGCTCTGAAGATTTCAATTATTTAATGTGATGACAAGAGCCTGCGTGCATCTCTTCCTATGTCTTTCACCCCCACTAGACTGTGAGCCCCTTGAGGGCAGGGCCTGAATCTCATTCATGTCTGGAGCCCTGTCACCTGGCATTAGGCTGGCACAAAGAGTCAAACACCGCCTTTCAGATAGTAGGCACTGTGAGAATTCCAAAGCGCACTGGAATTAGCCATGAGAGCTTCGGGCAGACTTGGAGTGGAAGCCCATGGTGTTGGAGCTGCCCGAGGCCTGAGGGTGGGCTGGACCAACCCTCCGTCTCACAGATGAGGGAAGGAGGCCCCGCTCAGGGCCTTTCCTGCCCACGGCTGGAGGAACAGATGGCAGGAAGGGCCGGGAACACAGACCCTCTGATCCCCAAGCTAGTGCTGGAAAGTCTAGGAGGAGCAAGCCTAACCTGTCGATACCACACCTTTGAGTTTGCCAAGCGGGTCTGTGCACCGAGGCCGGAGAGTGGACGAGCTGCTCTCCACTTGTGCCTGCCGACTGAGCAGCCTGTTTTTGTGGGGAGAATTTGAGCCTTGGATGCCCCCTTGTTCCTTGCTATGAGCCCCAATTCCTGCACCTAAAAGAGGAGGCTCCCAGGAGCTACCTGGCGGGTTAACTGTGTGTGTGGTATAAGTGTGGGGATGCCTGGCTGCGGGGCTCAGTGTCCTTGGGGTGATGGGGTTCATCCAGCCGGCTCCCAGACAAGCCCCAGGACTCATTTCCTGGGGAGTCCAGCCATGTCACCCCCAACTTCCTTTGCCTTTCTGTTTCAGCAAATCCCAGTCCCTGACTAACAGCCTCAGCACATCTGACACCTCCCAGCGCGGGACCCCCAGTGAAGACGAGGCCAAGGCCGAGACCATCCGCAACCTGAGGAAGTCTTTCGCCAGCCTGTTCTCTGACTAATCCTGGTCAGGCCTCTCCTGCCCCACCCTCCGTCTCAGCCTTGGTTCCTGCTGGGAACAGAATGGAGGGCCTGAGAATATCCTTTCCAAATGCCTTTGATCCAGGAACTGAGTCCATGTGTTCCCATTTCCTTTTGCCGTGGCGTTCCAGCATCATCCAGCCAAGCGGTAGGCGTTTGAGAGCCTCCCGATTCCTCAAAATGGGCCTTAAAGATGGGTGTCACATCCACCTTCCTGCCCAGATGCTTGCTCCCCTGCCTCAGATAACCAAGTGAGACATCAGTGTGACTGGTTTTGACATTGCTTGTTAGTGTTTCGCTTGCCTTTGGGAAGGGCCTCCTCTGAGCCTTGCCCCCATCTCCATCAAATGCAGATGCTGAAGTCAGACCTCAGCAATGTAGGAGGCAATAAACTTTTGACAGTGTTCTACAAACAAAAGGAGAAAAGCCTAGCCAAGGGAACTTAGCACCTACCCTTATCCGTTCCATCCAAGCTCAAGAGACGGGCCTGCAGCCCAGGCAGGCCCAGGCCCCATCACACCCGCCACCAGTGGATCTTGAGTACCACAGAATGAATTCAGACCATGCGACACGCTGAGCCTTTCAGAACACAACAGAAACAGAGGGGAGGCTCTGCAAGACCACTCACAGCCAGCATGCTATCCTAAGTTGGACAGCCAAGAGCAGACCCCAGGTTCTTTTAGGAATCACGACTAGTTTCCAGAGGGAGATGTCCTCAACTAGTCAAGGCCCCTCTGCCCATTCTGTGTTACACCACCGTTCAGCCTCTCTGAATTCCCACCAGGAATGCTGTTTCCCCCTCGAGGACACACAAGGAACCAGAGACGGTGAGCAGGCAGATGACACAGGATCAGAAAGTGTGATGACAGTCACTTCTAGCTCGGTGCTTCAGACTGAGCAGCAAGGCACTGGTAGGTTACTCAGTTACACAAGGGATCCCTGGTCAAATGTGCTTCGGAGATACTGTTTTGGGTTTGCTTTCTGAGCTCGATAGTACCTATATCACAGGCTCTTGGAAGTCCTGTAGTAAAGAAATTAGTTTTAACTTTGTTTAAGCCACACTTACTTGGCTAAAAAAGTTAACTGCAGAGCTGGAAAATGTAGCCCTGACTCTCTTTCCAATGCTCTTTCTCCTGCATCAGACTCTTCTGGGGAGGGGCAGGGGTTGCAGGGGGGGTGTCCTGATCACCAAGCACCTGGTGCTAGAAACATCGTTGGTGCCAGAACCAGCCTCCTGGTTCTAGAAAGCACTGAGGGTATTAGAACATAGCCACACTGTCCCCTTACATCCCACTTAGCAACTTGAGGGGCTTCCCTGATAGCTCAGTTGGTAAAGAATCCACCTGCAATGTGGGAGACCTGGGTTCAATCCCTGGGTTGGGACGATCCCCTGGAGAAGGGAAAGGCTACCCACTCCAGTATTCTGGCCTGGAAAATTCCATGGGGTCGCAAAGAGCTGGACATTACTGAGCGACTTTCACTTTCACTTGCAACTTGAGACGCGTCTTCCCCTTACTGCTCACAGGGAAGGGAGAGAGGGAGGTGAAAATGAAAGCGTCCTTGGCCTGGAGCTGCACTCTGAATAAAAGAATGCAGAGAACTTGTCGGGCAGGTGTAACACCGCAGAGCCATGTGTTTTAGGAGATTAAGAAGACAGGAAATACACAAGGCAGTCATTGCTCTCCCACTCTGGAAATAAGACAGGAAGAAGAAATCATTCTCACCCAATTCTCATTTAGCAATAAAACACAGCCCAAAATACACAACGAAGTGGTGACAGGCTAGACAAGGTTCCTCAAAGCATAGGACATGGCCATGGGCATAAGTCACTTCATTTAAGGCTAGAGGAGTCAGAACTTCTGCTCATCAGGCCTTGAACCTGTCTCTGTCAACCTCGCTAAGTGTTTGGAATGCCCCTTGAAGTCAGACCTGCCCTGAGCTGTGTGGGAACTCTGCTGCATGAATGGTGCTGGGGTGGAAGCACCACACCCAGGGTGGCCCCATAAACAATGGTGACATGGCTTACGTTGTCCCACTTTCCTGTATTCTGTCCCCCTCCCTGAGAACATCGGAACGTTCAAACACCAGATATTCCAGTACAGTTGCACACACTCACTTCTCAGGCTAGGCATCCTTGTTTCTATAGCCATGCCCAGACAGCTCCAGAAAATGAGACAAGGTTATAACCAACACACTGAAACAAATTCTCCCATTGGTCTGTGTGTGAATGCAAAGACCAGGTATGGTCCTTTGTGACAGTTAGTCCCCAAAATGGACTGGTTTCTCATGTAAACTAGCACATGTTCCCTCCAAACATTTAACCTTTAATAATTGTGATATTTTTAAATGAGAAAGAACAAAATGAAAGGGGCAGAAGAGTCACTCTGGAGAGATTCTGAAAGGTCGTGTTTGTTCGTTTTTGCTTGGTTTCACAACTCTGATCCAAAGAAAAGCCAGCATTTCCTATCCACACTGACTTGGTGAGGCTGAACCAGGACAAAGATCCATTTGGTTTGTGCTGACATGTAGCACAGTAAATAGAGAGTTTAAAATGCAGCCCCACTGGACACCTCCACCAGCTGCAGAAAATACCTTCTTCCAGATTTTCCTCCTAACAGCCTGATTAAAGGGCACTGTCACTTAATTGTCACATCAGCTTTCGAGGGATACTGGAATCTCCATGTCCTTTCTCTTCCATTCATCCTCTGTCCTCTTTGTCACGCCCCCTCTGTCCCCTGGTTCAGTCCCTGCTGATGGGGCAGTTAGTTCTACCTTTCCAGAATTTCAGGGTGATAGGCCTTCACACCCATAGTAACAAACACAGTAGTAAATCCCATGAGCCTGAACATCAGTGACCTTCTGGAAGTTCTCATCTGAATTTGCAATGAAAGGAGCTTGAGGGGAAAGCAAGCTGGTGCCGGCAGCTCTTGAACAAGCTGTGGGGGCATGGCACAGCACCCGCCGTCAGCACATGGTCGGTGTGCAGGACGTGTGTTAGACTGGCCCTTCTAGAAAACTATGCAATCAACAAAATGCAAACCAAATGTTAAAAGTAAAGAAAAAGTTTGTTTTTTCTGAGACTATCAATGTGAGGAAGTCACTTGCCCAGGAAAAGAATTAAACCAATAGAGAGATTAATGAGATAAGAAGCTGAAGAAAACCTGTGGTCCACGGGAACAAGCCACAGGTGAATTGACTGCAGGGCCTCCACAGCTGGGAGCAGAAGGGACGCGGTGCCACTGTCAGCATCAGTCAGGAGGTGTGGTGAGCAGACCAGGACAATACCAAAGCTTGTCCAACGACCCAGGACCCCGGGGGTCCCTCCAGAGCACCCAGTACACAGCAGAGCCCAACTCTGGCCATCCCGCACCCCTAGCTCCGTACTTCATGTTCAACTGCGTAGAACAGGTCGGTGGCTCATTCGCCCTTGTGTGTTCAGAATGGGTGAAAGGATGCAGGTTAGGGTACAGTGTAAGCCTGTGAAGTCAACCTTGCAGATACAAGCTGTAACTCAATTATGCTGGAGGATTAAATAGCTCTGAGAGCACTTGCATATGCGTGGTTTTCTTTATCCAAGCAAGCATGGGGACTGGTTACTAATTATCCCCACTAAGTGTCAACAGTTGTCCTGGACTCCAGGGCAGTCACGGATTAAATCCTGTTTCAGTCTACCATGCAGACTTTGATAGAAGGTGGCACTTTGGGTTTGCTTGCAGACAAACTGGAAGGTTGCACGATAAGCAAGTCAAACCAGCCCATTAACCAAACACAATGCAGAAAGGGCACAGAGGCTGCTTTGTGTTTCCACGAATGAAACATGCAGCCACAAGAGAGGAGACTCGTAGATTCTGCTCAGAACCCTCTCAACTGCCAGGAGGAAAAGAAGAAAAAGTTTTTTGAAATTTTAGTGTGTCATAAAAACCAATCTAAACATTCCTTCTACAGTTGTATGAGAGAAGAGAGAGAGAAAATTCTTTAAAATCCTAAGTATCTTTCATTATTTCTATTCTGATTGGTCCTGCTGCTGCTAAGTCGCTTCAGTGGTGTCCGACTCTGTGCAACCCCATAGACGGCAGCCCACCAGGCTCCTCTGTCCCTGGGATTCTCTAGGCAAGAATACTTGAGTGGGTTGTCATTTCCTTCTCCAATGCATGAAAGTGAAAAGTGAAAGTGAAGTCGCTCAGTCAGGTCCGACTCTTCGCGACCCCACGGCCTGTAGCCTACCAGGCTGCTCCGTCCATGGGATTTTCCAGGCAAGAGTACTGGAGTAGGTTGCCATTTCCTTCTCCACTGATTGGTCCCACTACTTGTAATTTCAATTTCCAACCTATCATATTTAAGTATCTTCTCTCTCTGGTCTTTTGTTAAGTCTAGAGCAGAAGCAAATTAACATCTCCTTCCCTCTTAATTAACATTTCACCTGGTTTGCTCTGGGACAGCAGAAACTTCCAGGGCTATAACCTGTTAGGGAATCCCGAAGAGGGCCATTTAATTAAGATGAAACCTTGTCATGTGACCTAATGCTTCCATGTTTTATCCACTCTACATATTCTGCAGTCAACTGGAGGCTGTCCAAAGAAGTTTTAACCCTGCCTGGCTCCTCCCGGGGCTCTGTAATTTGGCAGGGTAGGAGAAAGACAAACCTTGGTTCAGGCTCCCAAGTATAGAGAGCAAAGGGGAGTGTCAGAATCACAGAGATATTAAGCTAAGCAGTGATCTCAGGAATTGGAGAGGCAAGCTACAGTGAGAGAAGACAGAATTCAGTTTTTTGTACCTAGGGAATCACAAAATCTACATTGTTGAGAGGCTACCTGCCATGATTTGATTCCAACCATGCCAAACCAGAGCTTTCATTAATAAATGGGGGTTGGGGGGATGGGGGGGTGGCAAGCTTCTGTTAATAAAAATAAAGGGAAAAATGAGGGCCAGAGAAAGTCCTTAAGGCTACAAGCTAGCAATGTGAGCTGCATCTACCACGGCGCTCATCCATCACAACACATCACAGTGAAATCAGAAAGTCATGCAGCGAACAGGCTACAACCACACCATGACTTCATTCCCATCATTCACCAGCAACACATACAGCTTAACAGTCTCAGTTTAATGAGAAGAAAGTGGATTTTATAAGCTTCTAACTATGAGCTAGTTAAGAGGAAAAGCTTTGATGGTGGTTTTAAGAACTCAGAACAAACTATTATGAGAGGACTGCAAATTGAGGTGTGTGACACCCCGCTGGTATCCTAAACTGACAGGGATCTGTCCCGTGGGCTAGTAAGTCTGAGCTAAGGTTGAGAAGTAGCATCTGTTTCCTCGGGACACCAGCCCCGCTCACGAACCTCTCCAGGACCACTCCACTTCAAAAGGACCGCATTTTGAGAACTCCTGTTTTATAGTACACGGTGCTTCTGGTTACCACTACGTCCTTCCATCCCCACTATACATGCACACACACACACACGCACACACACAGCGCATCCAAACAATGCACACACATACCACACACAGCGCATCCTAACGTTATAAGGCCATGAAGACGTGCGCTGGAGAACCAGTTTTGGACCCATCAAAGTTTCAGGGTGACTCTTTCAACCTAGACCCAATTAAAGCCATATGGCCTCTGGTAGACACTTTGTTAAAAGCTATTCTATAGCTCAGATATTACAAAATACCACAGGAAAAAGAAAATGTCAACAGTCCTAATCCTTTACCTGTATATTAAGCTACTAAAGGTGACATGGCCTCTGGAAAATCATATTATTGGCTGAACTTTCTTCACTGTGATGGGAAAAAAAGGCAGTACACACGTGTAGCAAAAAAAAAAATTCATGTGTACATGGGACTCTGACATTCTTGCAGCACATAGCATTCCAAGCCATTTCCTATATGCAAAGCCAATTTTTTAAAAAGCAGGAAGACATTGGCAATATTCCTATTTTCTGCAGATACTAACAGTGTTTTAATCCTGTTTTGTGATTCAGACTTTAATCTGTCACTGTAGCATGTTTCTATAGTTGTTTGTATGCTATTTGTGTTTGACCTTTTTCTTGTTGTAGGCAAAATAAAACTTGAATTTTGTGTACTTTAAGTCTTAAAAGCAAAATATTCTACAAATGATGAGGCTTTCTTTGCAGAACAAGTACCTGAGCAGCACTCAAAGCACTGTACTTTGTTGTTAGAAACACTGTCTACTTACACCTTAGGCACCAAGTATTCAAAACACAAGGAAAAAGAACCGAAACTCCACTCCAGAAGAAGCCAGAAACAGGAGTTCCTAACAACCCAATGGTGGCCAAAAAGCAGAGTTTTGGAGCCCGGAAGTTTCGGCACAGAGCCTCAGGAGCAGCTGCAGGGATGGGGGAGGGGGACTGAGCTGGCGGGGGCCCATTCACCTCACATCCAGTCCAACCAAACTGGCTCCGCTTGTGTTCATTCCATAAATCAGGCTTCTGCAAATGATTTCACGTGAAGAAAGGGTGCCACCACAAAACAAAAATAATCCCCTGCAACAATCTGATGACAATGAATAGCTTCTCTGATCATTTTCAAATGTCCAAGTAATATTGTAATATTACATATCTTTCTGTAATAAAAGTCAAGACTGCCATGTAATTTACACTTAATATTTTATTCTGGTGTGGAACATTATCAATGTGTAACCTTCATTCTAGACGGTAACTGAGAGAGGGGATGTCAGGAACCATATTCCCAAGGCCAACCTTGTCGAGAAAGTAACCTGTGAGCCATACCACCCCTGGAGCTTTAACAATTAGGTTGGTGCAAAAGTAATTACAGTTTTGCATTGTTTAACATTGCTGTTTGATATTGGAATATTCTTAAATAAATGTGGTTATGTAGTATATCATTTTAATGTGCATTTCTTGCTTTATGTTTTTTTGCTAATGCCTTGCTTATTTTACATTTTAAGACTAGGGAAATGATGTTAGATGAAAAGCTAATTTGAGTGATTTTCTTATTCAAGATGGGTCAAAAATGGGTCATCAAGCAGCAAGAACAACTTGCAGCATCAACAACACATTTGGCCTAGGAACTGCTAACATAGTGCGCTGGTGGCTCAAGAAGTTCTGCAAAGGAGACGAGAGCCCTGAAGATGAGCAGCACAGTGGCCAGTCATGGGATGCTGACAACGACCAACTGAGACGATCATTGAAGCTCATCGTCCTACAACTACAGGAGAAGTTGCTGAAGAATTCAACGTCAACCATTCTATGGTCATTCAGCATTTGAAACAAACTGGAAAGGTGAAAAAGCTCGATAAGTGGGTGCCTCATGAGCTGACCAAAAAATCAAAAACATCGCCGTTTTGAAGTGTCATCTTCTCTTATTGTAGCAACAACAAACCATTTCTTGATCAGACTGTGATGTGATGAGCAGTGTATTTTACACAGCAACTGGCGACAACTAGCTCAGTGGCTGGACCGAGAAGCTCCAAAGCACTTCTCAAAGCCAAACTTGGACCAAAACAATGATCATGGTCGCTGTTAGGTGGTCTGCTGCCCATTTGATCCACTACCAAATTTCTGAATCCTGACGAAACCATTACATCTGAGATGTATGCTCAGCAAGTCGATGAGATGTACTGAAAACTGCAACACCTGCAGCTGGTACTGGTCCACAGCATGGGCCCAATTCTCTGTGACAACATCTGGCCACATGTAGCGCAACCAACACTTCAAAAGTTGAAGGAATTGGGCTATGAAGTTTTGCCTCATCTGCCACGTTCACCTGACTTCTTGCCAACCACCACTTCCTTCAAGCATCTGAACAACTTTCAACAGGGGAAACGCTTCTACAACCAACAAGTGGCAGAAAATGGTTTCCAAGAGTTCATTGAATCCTGAAGCATGGGTTTTTATGCTACAGGACTTCTCATCTGCAAAAATTTGTCGATTGTAATGGTCCTATTTTGATTAATAAAGATGTGTTTGAGCCTAGTTATAATGATTTAAAATTTATGGTCTGAAACCGCAATTATGTTTGCACCAACCTAATATGTCTATAAAAGGTTTCTGTAAGTCCATGTCCCACCATCGCAATCAGAAAACAACAGAGGTAGCACCCCAGCAAGATGACATCCGTAGTTTTAAAGAAACAAAACCAAAACAAGCTCCAGAGTAAGGTAACAAATCAGTCACATGAATGGTAGCCGGCTGTCGGTTGGCCAACCCCTGCTGGGTCTTGGGGGAAATCTGTCACTGGGGCCACCTCGCCCTGGCAAGATGGGGTTAGGACCTGGAAGTGGGCCCATTGGGTCAAAACGTGGTCTGAGTGGAGGGAACTGGCTGGGTGTCTCCCCAGGCCCGGGGATGAGTGAATTGATTGGGTCCCCAACATAGGGAAGGGTTAGTCTTTGATCATATTCACCACCGATAATTCCTGGAGGGAGCAGAGAACTGGGAGGGAAAGGCCTGGGGTGCAAGGGGTTGGGGTAGAATGGAATGGGGTGAGGTGATGATGGCAAGAACATCACATGCCGCCCTCTCTGGGCTTCTTTTCTTTGTTTGTACCTCTTCTTGTACAGCTGCAGACAGATAAGAACAAGACATAATGAGTGAGTTGGACACTTCCCCAAAGTTCCAGTATATATACTTTTCTTTTCCCACAGTATGGAGGCAGACAAAGAAGCTAGTGCACTGAAGGGAACTTCTACCAGTTTCTACCTGAATGAATAAGGTAGTAGCTGTGAACACAATGCCAAAGGAACTCTAGTCTTTAACCACACTGCAACTGAGCAATTGTGCCAATCTGGAGTAACAACACATCCAGAGAAGGGATAAATGAGTGACATGTACTCTCAAGACTGCAATCTAGCACTCTCAAGCTGGTATGAATTTCACGTCAGCCTTTCCTGAAAATGGAAAATTTAAATATTTGTTGAAAATATCATGCCATAGAATATAAAAAGTTACGGTATTGGCAGGGAAGGACAGGAATGGTCAGTACTTAAGTTCACTTTCTCACCTAAATTATGTCCCTAATAGACCTCAATTTAAATAACAAAATAGATGACTATTTCAGAGGGTGGAATATATTCCTATCTGCAAATAAAACAATATAACTTATTTTTTTCATAACTTACTATTCTAACTAGTCGAACAGCTGAAGACTACTACAGCACAAAAACAACTCAGTTTTGTTTTGTTTTTACTACAAACAGGGAGACTATATTAAGTAAAGGTGAAAACAGTCATCATGCTAAGATTTTTTTCCTGTGTAATTACAAGACACTAAGGACAAAGTCTAAGGTAAAAGTTGAAAACATTTTCATTTACTAAAAATTAGTAATAGACTCAAAACAGATTGTATTATAATAAAAGTGGAAAATATGCCCCTAACATGTTAATTCACTAGTTATTTCCATGCAACACACATCAGCCTTGGTATTTACAAATACCTACTTCTTTCCAATCTGTGTCTCGACCTCTGACACTACCATCTACAAAGAAAACAGAAAACATAAGGATTTTAAAATGCTTCATTCATCCAGCATTAAACCTGTCTTACCTCAATTTTCTATACTAAAAGAATCTACTTGGTCTAAAAGACTGTACTTGCAGAGAACACAAACATGAATGGGGAGAGCTTTGGTGGCACAGGCAGTGGTACATGAGGCTTAGAATCTCTTTATAATAAGGCTATGCTATGACTATTTCCTACTCCTTAAAAAAAGCTCACGACTTAAAACTTCTGGCCAGCTGAGTAATTAAGACCTCGGTAACAAAGAACACTTTTCTTGTTAACATGCCATCATGGAAATCACCTCGAAAATCCCGCAGATACAAACACCTCCACAGAAGTTGATCATTTGAAGTAATATAGAGGTCACGACAAACTGCAGACAGGGACAGAACAGAACGAACATCCAAAAGTCGGAAGATCCGTAGTTTCAGCTCCAATGGGAGGACTACCAACCCAAATACATCTGGTAGGTTCAGTGCTAAAAGGAAAAAGAGAATAATCTCACTGAGTACAGAAGATCCAGTTTTCCTCACATCAACCAAAGTGGCCAACTTTGTAGAGATGATAAATTAGATGGTATTTTCCAGTTATCCAGGCATAAGTCATCTATTACAAACTTTTATCCCCTGGTTGACTATATCACTACTACTAACTCTAAGCCCCTTATTCTCTTTATGTTTTACTAGAGAGACAAAGTACTTTGTAATACAGATCAAATGAATAACTATGACAATTTTTAAATACTAGTCAATGGCCTCCTTTGTTTCAAGATATATTCAATACAACAAAAAATTCTCTACTCAACTACAGAAAATGGATAATTCATTGGCTTTTACAATTGGTTCCCAATGCTGCCACTTACTGTGTGCCTTTGGACAAGTTATTTAAGCTCCAACTCAATTTCTCATCTGTAAAATGGGTTAATACTACCTCCCTCACTGAGTTGAGAATTAAATGAGTAAATACATACAGAGTGCTCAGAACAATATCTGGCAAGCAATAAGCACTTGAATGTTATATTACTATTATTTGATATCTAGCAGGCTGAAAAAGAAGGGAGGAAGACAAATTCAGAAGCAAAACCAAGAAAGGAAAAGAATAATATATTCCAAAGTTAAGTGACAATTATTTTCTTATTACTAGTTACTTTGAATATAGGGATACTATTCTTCATTAGCAAAGATAACCAAAATTCAATACAAGGTTTTAAAATTCACATTATTCTTTTCCCTCACCGTCAACCGAAGAAGAAAACTATTCCTGTAACAGCCTTGGCACCATGCCACTTGAGACCTAAAATACTATTTTTCTACATACAGACAGCAGATAAAAGTCACATATCTATCTCTAAAAACCTGAAATTATTTATCAGCCAAAGACTGTGGTAGATTATGACTCCACCATATTATTTTCTACCCTATATTTCCCCATCCCACTATCACGAGGTTTGGCCATTTTCACTTGTTTTGTCCACTGAAATGAGAGTACAAGTGGCATACTATCTCTGAATTAAAGCTTTAAGAACCAACACTATGGAGAAGGAAATGGCAACCCACTCCAGTATTCTTGCCTAGAGAATCCCATGGACAGAGGAGCCTGGTGGGCTAAACCCCATGTCGTTGAAAGAGTGGGACACGACTTAGCAACTAAACCACCCCACCTTCCCCACTTATTCATCCTTCTTAATCTATACATCACTTGTCTCTGGGATGTATTGATCTGGTATCACTTAACTTGTGTTCCAATTAGTCAGACTTAGCCACTGAACAACAACTTCCCTTATCAAGGATCTTATCTCACTGCACAGAAGTTAACTGGATCTCTTTGAGGACAGGATCACTAAGGGCAAGGACCAGTTTGCCTTGTTCACTACTGCATGTCTAGTACCTGACACAGTGTTTGCCTTGCTGGATGACATGACGGAATGGGTGATGTATGAGCCACAGCATCGCTCTTTTCTGACCTGCCTGGTGAACTCCTGCTGACAGCCCTGCCTGGCTGTAGGAGTGGGGAGGGCTGAGGCTCCTTGAATCATGTGAACCGTTAGCAGTTGCTACATTGTTGATGCCCTCCCCACCCCTCCAACAGATCTTAGCTGATCAGTGACTCCCAAGACTTCCTCTACACATGAA